ACAGCTTTTTTCTTTTAAAAAGAAATATAAATATATAAGATATATATGATATATAAAAATTGAAAAGTAGATAGTGTATCAGCAAGATATGTATATATTTTAGTTTACTAAAGTTGTTTCTAACCATGTAATTTAATTTATTCATTTTGACATACAGAAAAGAGCATGGTTTCTGCAAAGAGCACTATAACTTCTAAGCACTGCCCTACCTGAACCAGTTTGTCAGAGAAACTACTGCGCACCAAGGCCTGAGGTCATGAAACTATCAGTGCATGGCCATTGCCTTGTTTATCCAGTCTAAAAGGTTTTTTAAATGCTTGATATGTGGAGCCACTGATCTCATTACAAAGATGACCCTAGTTCTTACCTGCACGGAATTTTGGTCAAGTGAGAGATTAAGGTGGACAAGTAGGCACTTAGAATACAGAGTAGTAAGTGCTGTGATGGGTCAGGTCTCAGGTGCTAAGGAACTAACAGGCTGGACAGTGAACCTCCGCTGAGGAGGTCGAGCAGTTTCTCGGAGGAAGTAGCATCTAACATGAAATACCAAGGTTTAGGAGGAATTAAGCATATTTTTGGTTTTTGTTTCACTTGTTACCATATCGAATGCTTTGTTGTGTTGTCTTTGAAGAAAATAATCTCTGTGAATATGGTTTTTTGGTAAGCTTTTTTGTTTTCTTCTAGTCTTTATTGATACATTTGCAGGGTTGAGTTTTTGAATATTTTTAAAAGCTGATTAATGAAAATGTCTGTTTAAAACCTGAGAACTCATTATTTAGAGGATTTTTGCATTAGCCATGGATTGACCAGTTTCTCCTTATTGCCTGTTCTCAAGCAGACATTTATATAATCAGTACTTAAGCAGGAATTATTGGCTTTCTGCATGATGAAGCAGAACACTCCATTGCCCTGCAGAATGATTGTTTTTAATGATTGCTAAATGATTCCCTTTCTGGCTTAGTTAAGGAAACTTTTTTATTATTTTTTTTTTATGACAACCCATAAAGCTTTTAACACATAAAGTATCACAAGCCTTTTTTGAATCATTTACCTGATGGTGATAAAAATCACTTAATCAGGTTGGTTAAAGATAAATAGCTCTTTTTCAGCATTCATGTGACCTATCCTAATGTGCTTTTTCCTTTCTCTTTAATCTAGTGGGGTGGCTTTCATACTTTTTAATTTTGATATTTTCTTTTCAATTTCTTTTAAAGCTAAATGCTAAATGGGATACGTCAGGATTCAAAAGCATTGTCACACTGTCTCCAGTTCCTCTCTTTTTCTCTTTTTAACTGATTTGGTTTTTACACTCTGTTAATAAACTACTTTGATCAAGGTCACCGGTGACCTTCATGTTCCTAAATCTGATGGTCAGTTCTACATCTTCATTTGTGTTAACCTATTATCAGCATTAACACAGTTCATCAGTCCTTCCCTTAGTGACGTTCAGGACCCGGACTCTCCGGTTTTTCTACCACCTGGGTGCATGCCCCTTCTCTCAGGCTTCCTCGGTGGTTTCTCTTCTCCCTGCCGCCTTAACATTACAGTGCACCAGGGCTTATTCGAAAGCCCACTTTTCTTCTGACTGGCAGACTGTTATTCCATGTACCTATTTAACGTCTCCGCTTGCATATCCAAAATACATCTCAAAGTTAACATGTTCGAAACTGAATGTCTGATCTTCCCTTTAAACTTAGAATCGTCCAGGGGTCTTTTTATCCTTCTCGTATTGAAAGCCAAAAACTTGTCTAAGTCACTGTCCTGGAAAATTGCAGAATTGGTTTCCCTGGCTTCATACATGTTCCCCTACAGGTTTTTCTCAAAACCGCAGTCAGCACAATCCTTTTTAAAATATATGCCATTCCTTTGCTGAGAACTCTCCACTAACTCCCCTTTCACTCAGAGTAAAAGCCACAGTCTGTACAATGACCCTACATGATCTAGCCCTGCATTGCCTCTCTCTTATTTCATTTCTTACTACTTGGTCTCTCCACTTCAGCCACCTTGGCCTCCTTGTTTCTGAACATGGAGACATACACTAAGTGTAGGACCTTTGCATGCATTGTTTCTCTGCCAGATACTTATATGGCTAACTCTCTCACCTCATTCACATGTTTGGTCAAATGTCATCTTCTCAATGAGGCTTAATAATCATTTTAAAATTGAAACCCACCTACTCCTCCCCAACTTTCCCCCCCCTTAATTCTACTCAATACTTTCCTATAATACCAATTCTTAACATATATATAGTAATATGAGGCAGATAGATACTGTTTGTTGTCTGTGCTCTACCCCCTCATCCCCCCACCCTTGCTAGAATATAGGTTTCATGAAGACAGGGGTTTTTGTTTGACTGAGATGTACCCCAAATGCCTAGAACAGTGCTGGTATGTAGTAGGCATTTAATAAGTGTTCACTGAAAGAAAAAGAAAGAAAAAAGGAAGGAAGGAGAGAGGGAGGGAGGGAGGAAGGATGGAAGGAAGGAATGGTTTTATGACTTAATAATTGAAACCCATTTTGAAAATTCAGTTTGAAAAATGCTAGTCTAGTGGCTAGACTCAATCCTTAATTTTCTATTTGGGGTGCTACTATATATTAAACTTTTGGGGATAAATTTTCATTTTTTTAGTTTTTAGTTTTGTTCAGTTTGGTTTGGTTTGGTTTTTTCAAAGTGCTTGTTGGAGTCATTCTAATAATAATCTAAATGAAAACAGTGCTTTTCTGATATTACCATTTGTGTTCTATAACTTTGAAGGCTGTCATTTACTGTTAGCAATTTGCACTTTCAGATTTTTTTCCAGGCACAAACAGGTATTAAATCATACTATATATGATGTTCCACAATTTGGATTTTTGTGGAATTTGGTTGGTTTTTGTTGTGGTAGTTATTTGTTTTGCACCTAAATATTCTACCATGGACACTGTATCTTGAGATGCAGTACATGGATGCCAAGCCAGACTTGGTTCAGATCAATTTGGTAATTTGTCAGTTAACAGACTCTAGACAAGTGACTTGAATTTTGTTTCTCCATTTCCTTATTTCTTAACGTGGGAATAATAATAGTAACTACATCATACAGTGTAGTAAAGATCAAATGCCACCAAAGCACATGTGTGTGCATATAAATGTTAGCCTTCATCACTAGTATCACTTCATTGTTTATCACAGCTACATAATATCCCCTATTTTGAAAATATAATATTTTATTTAATCAGCTCCTGGTTTGATATGTATTTAGGTCCTTTCTTATTCTTCACTGTTAACAGTAGTCACCAGGGGTGAATGGTTTGGTACATTTGTATAATTATTTCCACAAAATAAATGCATACAGGCTTTCTGGGTCTAAAAGAACAGTATTTTTCCAAGGTATGCTTGTGCCAAAAATATGTCAGTATTGGTTTCCCCATACTCTTGCTGATGCTAGATATTACCAGGCTTAAATATCTTTCTTTTCTTCTAGTATCTTATGATTGATGGGCTAGTTCTTTCCCCAACCCCATGTCATACTCGCATTTTTATTCTGTAGTAATCTCTTTTTTTCAAACTAGTTATTTCTAGTACATCCCATCTCTTCCCCATTGAGTAGAAATGCTATGGGATCAAATTCCCAAATATTCCTCAAGCTCTTTATAACTCTTATTTTCACTATTGCCTGTCCATTCCTGTAAAGTACCGTCTGGTTTTAATCGCTGTATCTTACACCTTTTGGTATATTCATAGCCCTGCTACACACACTCAAGTATATACACATTGTTCCCCTTTTTTAGGAATGATTATTTTTCCAGATAAGTTTTGGAATAATTTTATTGGGTTTTAAACAAATACCCTCTGGAATTTTGTTTCAAAAAGTGTTAAAGGTATAGATTAATTTGGAATGAATTTGTACAGTATTGAGGTTTAGAACTTAAAAATGTCCATTTATTCAGGGCTTTCATTTTTTGATGTCTTATGTATTTGTTGTAAAGTATATTGCTGTGTTTTCTATAGTTTTTGTTGTCATTTTGAACATGATCTTATCCATTACATAGTTTAATATAAGATGGATTCCATGTACGTGTAAGACATTAACACAGGTGTATGTGTCTACATGTCTTACATCGACGCATCCTTCACACTCTTTAATACTTACGCAGGTCTTCTAGATTTCCTAACCTTACAGTCACATCATATGTAAATAATAAATTTCACCTTCCTTTCTAATTTTTGTACCACTTTTTTTTTCTTAATTTGTTGTAGCAGTTAGACTCTAGAATGATGTTAGATAATAGTGATGATAGCAGGTATATGTTAATTCTGTGTATGTATAATTTAATTGAAAAACTTTAATGACTTTATTGTGTTGATCACATTATTAGCTCTAACTAGCCTTACTTCAAGTCTTGTTTTATATTAAACCAGAGAGTACTTGGGAAAGTGTAAGATCTTGTGCTACTCCAGAAACTACAAGAACATCATCTTTGGCTAATAATAATAAAAAGAGTAGTAACTCTCTGAATTCCTAGAAGTTTACATCTGAAGTGAAGGATCTACCCCATCCAAGCAAATGCCATGTTAAAAGTTATGACTATAAAGTTTGATTTCAAAATTACATGACAGAATGCCATTTTTTCTTGCGCCCTGAAAGTGAGTAATAGGCTGGGCTGTGCCTACCTGGAGACTCAGTTTTCTAAGCTGCAAACATGCCAGGTGTGGCTGCCTGCAGCCTGGGCCACTGGTTCTGTGGGTGCTGCCCGTGTGAGTGAGTTCCGCCTCAGCTTCTGCCCCTCCCAGCAGGCCCGTGCCAGGGAGTCCTTGGACCTGGGAAATGCTGATCTTGGCTATCTGAGTAGGGCTAAAGGTTAGGTATAACCGATTGTTCAGATGTATCTGACTTTGTGTTAACTCTCAACAGTTTAACTCCATCTGGGCAATAGAAAGCCAGACATTTTAAATAATGTCAAATGTAATCAAGAATTAAATGTGTTGGCTTAGTTTTCTTTGACCTATTAGTTGCCTTTCATTCCCAGATAGATTACTAATACTTTGGATAGATACTTTATTGTTGTGGAAGGAGGAAGAGAAGATTTTATACTTTTTCGTAAAACTAGGCAAAAGTTTACTTTTGTCCACCCCTACCTACCAGTTTCCCTATTTACTGGCTGTTTGACATTTTTTTTAATTTTTAGGTTTGGGTTTAAATTTTAGTTGAAGTAACCAGCTTAATTTCTCAGTAGTCTCAGTCTACTTAGCTTTATAGCTTTTAGCTAACTTAGTAATAATTAGCATTTTCCCCAGATTTTTTATTATGAAAAATGTCAAACCTAAGATGGTTATCTTGCAGAATGGCCCACATTCTGGATTTGTCTGAGTGTTCCTTCATGACTAATATAAGAACTTAAAATCATCATAGTCTTCATTACGTAGGTCCATTTGCTGAGAATAATTTTCATACTTGTGTCATGGCACTTAGTAATTACTAATATTGACCTGATTCCATTTCATTCTGTTACTGGATATGATCTTAGTGGAGAGATCCTATAAGTAATGGTTCTGAGAACAGGATCCTAATTTTAGAAGGTCTGTGTTCTTGGGCACCTGGGTGGCTCAGTTGGTTAAGCGACTGCCTTCAGCTCAGGTCATGATCCCAGGGTCCTGGGATCGAGTCCCGCATCGGGCTCCCTGCTCTGCAGGGAGCCTGCTTCTCCCTCTCCCACTCCCCCTGCTTGTGTTCCCTCTCTCGCTGTGTCTCTCTCTGTCAAATAAATAAATAAAATCTTTAAAAAAAAAAAGAAGATCTGTGTTCTTTCCATTTCTAACAAAGATCTCCTCTGTGGCCTTGAATGAGTTATACAACCCTTCCACCTGTGCTATATAAAACATGGAGAATTGCTTACCTCTTTTAAAGTTCAGTGGGTTTACTGACTGATGTTCATAAAGCCCCATAGAAGATGTAAAACATAGCTAAAACGGTAATAATTAGAGAAATGATTGTGATTTTTTTTTTTTTTGATGCTTTCAAACAAGCTTTTGTTTAGCCTTTGTGTTAGATCCTCAGCAGACATTCTGTCTCATATTTAGATCTGAAGGAAAGGGACACTAACCTTAAACGCCTACTGGGTTTTAAGCGCTGTGCTAGAGTCTTCAAATGCATCTTCTCATTTAATTTTTAAGCCTCCGTCCAACCTGTGAGATATGTGAATTCTTATTTCCATTTTATAGACAAGGAAACCAAGGGTCAGAGGGGTTTAGTAGCTTGCTCTGTATTACAAACATAGTGTACGTGCTGCCGTCAGGCTGTGAGCACAGAGCTCTGTACGTTTTGGAGCTCTGTACATTTTCTAAGTTGAGCTTCATCATGAGAACTTTTCTGAATACTTTTGAAATGTCACATATGTTGAAGAAGATCTCTTCCCCCAAATTTGGTAGCTACTAGTGAAGAGTTTATACCATCTTCATCGGACCAGAAACATTTAATATGCAGACAGTGTTTTTTTAAGTATATTAATTTTCCAGTTACAGTATATCTTCTGTCACTGATTCTGTTCTAGGATGTTGGCAAAGGATGAACTGATGACCATTCTTCAGAAATGTTTCCAGGTTTTTAAGTCCTCTTCTGAAAAGCAGCTTGAGAGCACAGCAAAGAGAATAGAGGAGTTTCTGGCCCAGTTACAGAGTCTTGATGGTGAGAATATAATATCTTGCCAATTCTACTGGCTATGACAGTTATTTAAATAAAATAACATGGAAAATCCCACTTTCTGATGTTTCAGAGATGAAGAGATAAAGTAGTTCATGGTCAGTCAGCATACCAACCCTCAGAATATAGTATCTTGACCATCACAAATAAGATGAATGGTTCTCTTCCAGATTTGGTTTAAACAGTGAAAATCCTCAAATGGGCAAGAAAAAAAATTGTTCTCCCAGATGGACAGTTTAGAGGACTTATCTTTAAAAACAAAAAGGCAACAAGAAATGAAAAGGTTGGAGAGAGTAGCAGGGCATCATAATTAAGGACTCCTTTTACATGTTTTTTCTTAAGTATTTCATCAAGTTCTTTATAGATTTCAAAAACACTGCATAAATCATTTGTAAGCCTGAAAAATTAATAGCTGTGAACCACTTTCACAGCAGTGAGACTCATTGGTATGCTGATTACCAAAATATGCATGAGGTTGGCTGTAATCGGATTTATAAAACCTGGAATGAACTGAGGCAGCCTGGCATTCCCCAGTGTTGGAGTCTTAACACTTTCCTTGATTTTTGCCTGAGTGCAGGGGTAGCCTGATTGTGTATAGGTAGCCATGTTCTGTTTTCTAAGGCACTATGGATTGATGCTGATCATTCACTTTTCATGGGCTCTTCTCTTGCTCTTGTTCTAGCACTAAAGTATGGCATTCTTTTGGGAAAACAAAACGAGTGTGCACCCTTTATTTCCCCCTATTTAGGGAAATTGTAGTTTGGGAGGTTGGGGGAAAGAGGCAGCTTGGTATGTAAGCACATAGATGGGACATGGCATGGTGAAAATATTTCACTTGGAATGTCTGTATCAGTCCTTTCTGTGTTTGGCAAGTGTTCATCTTGAAAATCCTTTACATTAAAGGCAAATGCTTTTGCTGAAATCCCTCCATATCTCTCCACAGCTGCAATGCTAGGTACCTGATGAGTGCTTAGTGGAAGATGAAGAGACAGTTTGCTTGCCTGGAGTGACATGAGTTAGCCAGAATGAGTTAGTACAGTAGTAAGAGGGTTTGCTTCAGGTTATTTGTAGGCATGCTCTTTTGCACTACAGCTTGAGCTGAACCATTTTTTAAGTCATAAAATTTTAAAGAACTAGAAATCAGTATCATAGAAATCATGTAGTTCATTTACAAACAGAAACTAAAGCCCAAGAAGAGAATGTAACTTGCTCTAGATCCCACAGGTAGCTAGTGCTAGCACTCAGGCTAGAGCCCACCTCTCAAGCCAGCTCATTGTTGATTTTTCTCTCATTCATAATTTAAATGCCTCTTTAAAAAAAAAAAGATTTTATTTATTTATTTGACAGAGAGAGACACAGTGAGAGAGGGAACACAAGCAGGGGGAGTGGGGGAGGGAGAAGCAGGCTTCCTGTGGAGCAGGGAGCCCGATGTAGGACTCGATCCCAGGACCCTGGGACCATGACGTGAGCCGAAGGCAGA